AGCCCAGTAAGGTACGACGATGGTCGAGCCGACACCCTATGAGAGCCGGGTGACGACCTTGCCGATCAGAGCGACCCCTAACGAATCTGGAACTCCACACGCCTTCTCAGTGCCTTGTAAGAAGTCTCGTTGGAATCGTGTGGGCGCGCCGCGGAGTTGAGGGTAGCCCAGCAGAAGCAGGCAGTCGCTACTGATCCAGTTGGTGGACGGAATACTTCGCAAGTCGTACCGCGAGGAGAGGCGAGCGGCTATTGAAGCCGCAAACAAGGCAACAGTACAGAAGGACAAACGTATTAAAATCAAGACCGACTAAGCAGAAGCCGCGACGGCTTACGCAGGTAGCCACCTGCCGCACAGTGTGCGAAGACGGGGTCTTAGCCGCACGCTTACACTGGAAGTGGAGAGTGATGTAGGCTCGGGCACGCTGAAAGGCGTACTGCATACCCTATTATCATACGGTCATTGTGACGATGACCCAGGATGTACAGCACACTGCAGGTGGAGGACGCGGAGCATATTGTGGGCCTCGGAGATGGTAATCGCGAATGCGGTAAAATCGACTTGTTGGAGAACACCACCGCCGCCCACGTGATGTGCCCGGTGAGAAGCGGCCGAAAGTCGGGAAGAAAAGTGTCCCAGGCCACTGCGCAATGGCGCAGCCTCAGAAGAGATGTTTGGCGCTCTCCACCTCTGGGCAGCCATGAGCGCAGAGAACATCGGAAGTCTGGTGCTAGTACTTTGATCAGACACTAAGTCCATTTAGTTGGAGGCAGAATTGAATGTCTGTGAGAATAGGCAGCAAGTCCCGATTAAGCAAACGTTCTTGTTTATAAAGGCTCGCGCATGTGTGGTGGAGTGGGATTCGCAAAATTGCTGATGCGATCCCAACTCTCCACTGGCGCCCGGACGACCGACTAACGGAGGGGGTACCCCGATTCCGTGTGTATAGCCTTCCTCACCTTGTGTACCCGTCGGTAGGGCGGGTTGCTCTCTTCTCGGTAGACTTGAGTCGATGTTGAACTTGATTGTGTTAGGGATAGGTGGGGTGCGATTGCGTGGAATTCCTCACACGATCTCAGTTGTTCTTGGGGTGCTCTGTTTGAGTCGCCCTGATCTCCCTTGAGATCGCCTTGTCCAAAAGTGTAGATACTTGATCCGCTTGCCTTCTGACCACTTGAGCCGTCTCGCGATCTTGTATCTGGACTTCTAAGTCCTCTGCGTCCAATCGCAGCTTGAGTTGTTTTGTTTTGAGAGTTCTTGTAATACCTGGCCAAACAATCCAGGGATATGACTTGCGTAGTAGGTAGACTTCCTTGAGACGTCGGGAGGCCAAAGAATCCAGCCCGGAAGAGAAGTCGACACGTGTACTTAGAAGAAAATTGAACTCTGTTAATGTTAACCAATCAAATACCAAAACCTATGATCTTGACTATCTGTAGCTCAGGATCTGTTGCCACGTATCGCCCTTTCGGAAAAAATCAGATCTCGGAATGTGGTCCACTCCAATATAGCCGCGATCTGGCTCGCTACCTCACTCGGATATAATACCATTTTAGTACCAGATCGCGGTACTAAATAATTAGTACCAGATCGCGGTACTAAATAATTAGTACCAGATCGCGGTACTAAATAATTAATATCGGATCGCGATCCGCCGGATCACGACTTGTCTTCTTCACCGTTTCTCAGGTCATGTGAGATAGTTCATCAATGTGACATTTCATATCCACCATTCCAGTCCTCCATAGCGACGTGATCCACACCAGACCGTCCTCCACATGCTTGGATGTACCCATCTTCCTCCTTAGCGACCGCGTTCACGCGGATCGCCATCGGAAATACTGGAGATCGCAATAGCGTAGTTTCTAGGCCATATTTGACCCCACATAGAAGTGCAAACTACTCCATTCACTGTTTTCCATCCTATTTGACATCGTCTTGAAACCTTTCTGCGAGATCGCGACTCATCAATATTGGCCACGAGATCGCGACTCATTAATATTGGCCATTTCGGACTTAACCGAAAATATGCGATCACACTTGGCGAAATTCACTCTTTCACTTCGCCACACATGTCAGGTCTTCTAGGATTCCAAGAGGTACGTACGATGGTCGCGGAATGGGAGAGAGCGGATAAAGCAACGGCAAAGCTCATAGATCCAGCGATCAAGAAAACCATTGCGGCGACCGTTTATCCGTAGGAAGCCGAGCACAGATCGCCTCAGAAGTGGGTCCCTTCCACGAGAGGCTCATCAAGAGCAATGCTTAGCAGATGAGTTGCCTGCCGAATGAAGTGCCCTGCCACACTGGATCACTGGGTGCGAACGTGGAATCAATAACATGCATACACACGTCCTTCGTCGGAGTCGCCCTATGGCATCCCACAAAATCGTGGGCATGGACGTAATCGGCCTCGAATAATCGCGACGCATTGGTCGAGGCTTGTCCGGTGAGACGACGCGCGCAGTTTGCGCGAAAAAAGCTCTGCTAATACCTCCAACGCACAATGGCGGATGACGAGAGTATACCAAGCTTGAAGAGGATCAGTTCAGAAGGACTTGAGGCCTGCCCAAGGCTCAGGCACCGTGAGTCCGTTGGAGGGAGGGGCATCAAGAAGATAAAATATTGGCCGCTGTACCGAACCTGTTCCGAGAAAGGACGAAGGCGGAGGCAAACCAGCGCGGAACAACATGCGTCGCGGTAACCGTTTGCATGGCATCACGGCGAGAACAGAGCTAGAGAGCATGGTTGAACGAAAAGGCTTCTGGGAGGCCCAGGCCACCTTGAGACTCAGCCAGCAAAGCCATTCTTCCGCCATCGGGTCTTTAAACGCACGCGTCGGCCACAGTTCCTTTTTAAACAGTAACGATTTGCAGAGGCACGTGACTTGGGTCGCGGTATCCGAAGGTAAGTAGATAACAGCGGCTGTGTACCGCAAAGAGGCAGCACGGTAGTACGCAGGATATCTGCACGACCAAAATGAGTGCATGCACGATACTGCGAAAGTTTGTAGCCGAGAATCATAGCTGCAAGAACCTTGGGAAACGGGATCTGATCGGGAGCAAAGGGCTCATGTAGGTAGCAAGGAAACATACGGAGTCAGTGCTCGTAATTACGTTCCAAGCCACTAAACGCAAGCTTCTCCCGAACGTCCAGGAGGAGCAGAGAAACAACAAAGTGATACATTGAGACGGAGGCCAGCGGCACCCACGTAATGTTAAATCGTATCGATGAATACGGGAGTCTTTTTGAGAACGCGCAGGAGGCCGGAGCAGACATTAGCGAAGGCCAGCAAGTGGTGGGTTCGGCGTACTCCCCCACCTGCAACCCTAGATGGGACGTGGTTGCATGCAAGTAGCAGATGAGAGACCCAGTGAAAAGAACAAAAACACCGGCAACAGAGAGTCACTTTGGCGGATACCACAACTAAACTCGAAAATACTTGCTCGCGGTCCCTTGACGAAGACACTGACAAGGGTGCCACGGAAGAATGTCATAACGTAGTCGCAGAAAACACATTGAAAACCATGTGCTGCCCCTGACCGGCATGGTGCGCTTCGTTCGCTAATATTCATTGACAGACCGCGCACGGCCCAAGACAACTCAAGAGGTGAATGGTCGGTAGAGCTCATCGATTCATTGTCGCTCGCGTCGACAGCGACAGGCTCTTCTAGAGCCAATATAGAAGAGGCGTGAGAGGAAGCGTCCTCATCGTCGTCGTTGTGGTCGTCACGCACCAACTGCAACGAGAGTAGCACCGGAGCGCTGAGGTACTGCTCAAGACATATACTCAGGGCTGGGCCGTCAGTGTCGCTAGGCAATCATCAGACACATCAAGGACGGGAGGTCGCGGGCTCCTCGGCGAGTACGACGACGATACTCAAAACGCTTCAGAGTGTTGATCCGGGGCTCAGGAATGGACCAGGCGACGATAGGGATGCCGACTGGCTCGGCGAGAGCCGTAGGTAAACCATCCCGGACTCAGACCTGGCGCAGGCGACACAGTCGACGACATCAGACGTGGGCTCATCGAGATCGTGGTCGCTGAACGCCAGTTTAAAGCCAGAAAGCAAAACCGGAAACTCAGAAACGAGACGATCATCGGTCTCGTGACTGGTCGTTATCGGCACCGTAGAGGCCTCAGCGAGAGATAGTGCCATCGAGCAAACGATGACTTTTACCCACTTCTGGATAGAAGAAGAGAGTCTGGGCGGTCAAGGATGAGTATGCTCTTTGGAAGCGCTGGGGAGGGCATCGATGGAACAGCAGTTGAAATGCCCTGAGGCGACGAACGATTTTGACAGCTGGGCGTGGGGTCACGCGCACGCAAGGCGAAATCGAGCGATTACTGGTAGAAGTGGCTCGCTTCTGCTGGATAGATGGAGGAAACTACCTTATTTAAAGAGCGTTGCTTGTGCTGTACGTACACACGGGTGTCGTACCCAGTATAAATATCTCACGCAGCGGCTGACCGCCGCGCTAAAAGAGCCTTGGGGACTGTCGCTTGCGGAACCCCGATTGTCCGATCACGAGACATCAACGACCCGACAACATGCGTCGGGGCGATGATCAATTGCATTCCAAGGTTGACGAAATAATCGTAGATCACGTCTTCATCCAATTTAGACGAAATACGCGTAAGATCGACGAAATAGTAGCGCTCGTAAGCGCTAACGTACTGACTGAGCTGAACCGCGGTTCATTGACTAATTCGGCCGCCGGCTCAGTGTGGCATAGGATGAGTGGCGCATGAACGTCAGGAACACGACGAAGTAAGACATACGAGCACTATAATAAACACTTTCACTTCCACAGCATATCCTCGACATCTAATATAAAGGGTTTAATGATGAGTTTTTGGTCCATGCAGGACACCAAGCTTGATCGCAAGATCGCGGTTTATACAGGTATAGCGGATGCCGTGACACGAACGCAGACACAATCACAGAGAAAACTCAACGCTTGGTCCTAGGTTGGCACTGAGGCTCGCAAATGATCGCATGAAGAATGTCATCGATGCCGAACACGTCGGCAATGCAAGAGGCAGGAATGAACAACTGAACCTTATCGTCAGGAGCAACACGAGCACGCTGAACTTCGCGGAGCGTGAGGACGCAAAGCTCCTGGGCGGACTACGTTACGCAAGAGCATCGTCGATGAGAGGTCGGTAGGATCGGCTTTCATATAATAAGTTAGTTAAATGGTAATAAATGGTAATTTACTAGGTATATATTGGTTTTTCAAAGAAAAAAATGATAATGCTATTAAAAGATATTTCGTGAAATTATCAAGTTCAAGCCCTACTTTCATGATTAAATTATATATTATTATATAGATTTATAATTCAATTTCAAACTAGATTAACATTTTTTGGTGAAATACCTATTTTTACCTTTTTTATCAAATAAAAATTAGCAATTGTGTATATTCCAGCTCCAATTGCGTATACTGAAGTTGTTGCAGTTAAAACGCTCGTAGTTGGCTTTTTGTCTTGGACGTCTGACCCTCTCCCTTTAGGAGTGTGTATTGATGAATGTTCGAGGCATTTTGTGTGCTTCGTTTTCATAGTATTTGGAGATTATCTTGTCGATTTTGGTGCGTTTCTTGTTGCTCGTACAGCGTTAAAAGTTATCAGATCTGATCTTTATTGTTGCAATATGATTCTGACTACATTACAATGGAGCCATGTTAAGTGTTGCACACGAGTATCTATTTTTGCGGACGTGGTGCAATACATGATCGACTGTGAAAGTAAATAAGGAGCCTATTGCGCTTTTTGAGGACGTAAAACCAGGCGATCACGTACATACTCGTCGGCGCGCATTCCGCATACTGGACATTATGCACAAGCAAGTACAGGTTATATGCTGAAGGACCGAGATTATCGTGGAGGGATCATATCTTAAGTTAAAACGTTCGTTTTTTTCTGAATAGTGGCAGGCAGTGCGAGAAATGCACTAGGTAGAGAATTATACACAGGGAAGCTTGTATCAGCTGATAAAGCTTATCGAATGGCCAAGCAACTGCGTGCTTTACATCGGGTAGGTTGTCAACTCAGTCCATGATGACGCAAGCATGATGGAGGACTACGTCGCTAATATTTTGTTGACAGGGACAATTTGTTTCAGATGATAACAAATGGGTGTAATCATTCGGTAAGTTCTAGTGTCTGAATGGTGTGTGTTTAGTGAGTTGGAGGATGAAATGCGAGTGCAACAAACCCCTGAGTACCTGCGGCTCGTATTCCAGGTGCGAAACGTGTCTATTGTGTTGAGTTGGTGAATGTAACGTAGAAACTGATGGCGAAGATGCTTGGCTTACAGATTAATACAGTCGATGAGTTGATGCGTAGTATCCAAAACGAGCTTCGTTCGGAACCAATTCCTCAGGCAAATTTGTGCAAACTCTTCAGTCTCTGCGATCTCAATTGTTTCTTGTTTATATTGTCCACTTTGCTGTCTAGAATGACGCATGTGTGGATCAGCTTGTCGATGTTCACGAGGCAATTCAGACGGAGATGGAAAATCTCATCAATGTCAATTTCGGATTGGTCTTTTGAGCTGGTACGTATCCTTCGCAGTTCCCGTTCATTGTGCAGCGATATGTCGACATTTATTCAGCACGACTCGAAAATTTATTGGAATATTCTTTCAACCACGCCTTCATGCTACATGAGCATTGCCAAGCAGAGTTTGTCTAACATTATATAAATGGACGGCAATGACAGCTCGTTGGTCCGCAGTCAAACACCAAAACTTCCACTTTTTCGTGAAATGCTTCGTGACATACTGCATCTGCAGTAGCAACTATGTTTTTCATATTACAAAATGTCGATTGTAAATGTGTGATCGCCCTCGCCATATTACACTTCATTGATACCGCCAACACCAGCGTCAATTCCGCGCTCACAAACCGAGATGGTTAGCACCAACTTTAAAACCGTACGGTAAGTGCTGCATCGACACAGTGAGCTCACCGAATTGACCTGCACCCTCGACAACCGTTTCGACTACAAATTCGGTTATCAGAAACCTCCGTCATTAATGAGACGAACACTCGGAATGCCACGCGCGAATGCTACAGCAAAGCGATACGAGTGAGGTCTAGCGTCTGGCATATGCATCAATCTTGCGGCAGCCGCCAACATGAACCGCGGGCAGGACCGCGACACAGTTCGACAATATCTGGACAAGTCATGGGCCTTCACGGTATGGCACGATGACGACTGGCGGCACGAGCTCGAGCAGTCGGATGGCGATCATGGCCATGGTAAGCGCGATCACGCCGCAGGGAAACAAGAAGTGAGGGCGGCGGATGGCTCCTTCCTGGTTAATTGGCGTGGCTGCCTTCACGGCCATGCTAAGCTCGTGCTGTGGATCGTGCAAGCGGGGTGAAAAGACAGACACGTCTTTAGAGTGAGATCATCGCAATGTTGCACTATCCTGTGAAAATGTTCATGTTGTGGAAGCACTTACAAGCGGAAACGGAAAGGATGGAGGTCAGCAGCGTAGGACCTGAGCCGAAGCAAGCACTGTAGTACTATCAGGGCAAAGTCAGCAAGTTGTCTATATCGCGCTTCTTACACATACTCTTACATTCTCATACCTCATTTGTCGAACCTGCTTCCTAACAGCACCATATGTGGTTATACCAAACTTCTTGGTCCAATACACAATGCCAGCCTCGTACTGGTATTCTAGGCAGGATGTGCCACGGTAGCACACAACCTTACCGCTAAATAGTGACTAAAATAATAGCCATCAACATTGTCACTTAGTATCGGATGCGGCATCGACGACACGGGGCTCAATCGTCAGAGAGCGCGCAAAACAGGAGTCGCTATCAACGAAAGGAACTGGTGAGCAAATGTGTTCCTAAAAATAAAAAACATAATACACGTATTAGTTATGGCAAGAAGTACACGACCAAAAGCTAGTTGGACTTACCAAAACACGCTTGTTCGTCGGTAACAAGTACGGTGTCTTCTGGAAAGAAAGTACTCGTTGAATGAGAGAGCTAATGGAGCGTATCTTTTTAAAGTTGATCAAGTCGCCCTCCACACGATCTGGGTACTCCTGCAGAGCGATCACGTTTTGAATGACAACACCCATATACGGGATCAGCGGTGGAGTCGCTTCCTTCGTGAACTTGTTAAGTGGCCGAGCACCCTTCTCCGTTAGCGGCACCAGCTTTTGCCACAAGTCGCGTGCTTGCGGTTGAAGTCGGCCCCATGTTTTCTTGAGCCGGAAGATTGAAGAATCATTCGATGCGTTCATAACGGCCATAAATCCATCAAGATTTTGCAGGGGAGAGAGCAGAACGCCAGCAACACGAATGAAATAGGCCAGAATTTCTGCACGTTGGTCCACATCGCTTCGTATCAGAATTTGGCCAACTACCCAAGTGGAAATGTGATTATGCAGCAGCCGTAGTCGCTGATACCCTGGTGTTTTCTCCGCGTTGCGTTTGGACGCCAACACTTCAGACACTAAAAACACAAATCCAAGGTAACGAGTGTTAGCAACTTTCAATGTTCGTTGAACTTTGTAACGATGCGACGACTAGATCGTACGTTACCTTTAATCTTGCTAAAAAAATAGTGCTGCATCAGAGTGATCTGCTGTGCGATGATGCAGGGATCCAAATCCAAGATCCTTTTACAAAAATAATGACATCAATACGATGACATCAATACTATCAGTAAACTGCAACAGACGTACCATAATCTCGTCATCCGCTGCTCTACCGTATATGGACGGCCCACATTCACACCTCTGGGCTGCCAGGGCGTAATTGTAGTCGACCGTGCTTCCGATACGGAATCAAGAATCTCCTCTGGCTTAACCACAAATGACTTGTTTCCTTCTCTCTTCTTCCACACACCAGCGAGAGACAATCGGCGTCGCATCGCTTCCGTAATAATCTCCATACCCGTCGCAACGCCGAATAGATCGTCATCCAAAAATTCAAGGTTTGGATTTGCTTGCTTCGCTGTGCAGATGAAATGCTTCAGCGACGTATAATCACCCTCGCAAAAAGACAGCACCTGAAATTCCTGCACGCGGTTTGACTGACAAGCATCTACGAACTCAGGCAACAGCGACGCACTTAGCCATTGCGCACACTGTGGGTCCTCCTTGGCCAGCTCATTCGGTAAAGGGACCAGTTCCGTATACAATTCAGCAGCGTAATTGCACACAATCATATCACATTCCACACTGTGCTTCAGAATCTCCACCAACTTATTTAATGCACTCAGCAACACACGCCGCGCGTAGAACCCAGCTTCCGTTCCGATCGAATGCCGTTTCCAAATGTGTCGCAAAATATCTACCGTGTCACGGAAGGTATCCCCTCCTCCATTACAAGCATACCCGCATGACCAAATGAGTGCACTTAACTCCTCCAGACGGTAGTTCTCATAGCGCAACAAAAGGTCGGCAATAGCGTCAAAAGTCCCTGCAATAATTTCCTCGGCTCCATTAATCTCTTCCGTCACAAGATCCTTGATGCTCAAACACTTTCCGGAAAGACCTTTGCATCCTGAAAGTGACATAGGAATGTCAGCCTGTTCCAAGTCATCAATGTCTTCATCATCAGAGTCATCATCGTTCTCGCCCATCTCACTGTAATCCCCATGGACCATGGCGGAACTATTGTCAGTAGACGCGTCTTCACTCGCAAGCGCGTGCGAGGAGCGACTAGCTTCCGCTATAACCGCTGCGGACTGTCCATATAAGTCACGTCTTGCCACATTTGCGTCGTCCGCCATTTTTGATACGAGATACGCGTATAACCCGTCACATCCATATAGAGCTGCATAATGCAAAGGTGTACGATACAAATCGCAAACTGCAGACATTTCTGCACCACTCTGCACGAGATAATTTATTGTAGAAATGACTGAGGACTTGTCCACATTAATGCTGCTCAGCAGACCAACCGTTGTCTTCTGACAGTGGTTGTCATTTTTGTTGCAGTTGCCGTGATGATCCGTTGTCGATGGTACAGACAAAGAAGCGTCTTTCTCCTTGACCATCCCGTGATCTTTCGCAACTGCGATCATCAATGGTGTCAACCCTTCACTTGTACGCACATCAACACCACAGCCCTTTTCTATAAGCAACTGGCACGCACGCTGGCTTGCACTAGCTGCCGCAAAATGTAGTGGGGTCTCACCGTGTAGCGTGCGAATATTGGCTTGAGCGCCATAATCTAGTAGCCCCTCCACTACATTTGTACGGCCGCTCTTTGCTGCAAAGGCGAGAGCGCTCATGCCACACTGCCAGTTCCGCACATTCAAGTCAATATTGCTATCGACTTCCATTATCACATCGATTCCACCAAGATAGCCTCTTTCTGCCAACAACATGATTGGGGTATTGCCATAGATGTCCACAGTATGGACATGCGCTCCATGCGTTAGTAGTTTCTTGATAATCAAAACGGCCTTATCTGAGTCGCTCAAGGTAGCCGATGTTCCATTTGTTGCTTTCGTCATGCTCATTGTTGTAGGCATCATGCAGGGAGACCCAACCATGTGCAGTGCACTGCGACCACACTCCCCGATAGTCTTTACCTTTGCGCCGTGCTGAAGCATGTATGAAACGATGTTAAAGTGTAAAGCACTTACTGCGACATGCAGTGGCGAGTTACTTCCACACTCATGAGCAACATAATTCACGTCAGCACCGTTTGCCAGCAGCATTTGTACACTGAACACATCACCGCGCTGGCATGCGTGCATCAACGCCACGTTCCACAGCGCTTTGTTCGATGTCAAAATTTTGAAATAACTGCTTTCAGGGATGAAGGCTAATCGATGGGGTGACGACGACTCAAGAAGCAAGGTCATTATGTCTTGGAATGGCCATAGTACCACATTTTGGCCATTCACTGTCACTAATACGTAACCTCGAGTGATGATGGTTCCAACAGCTGAGTAGCCGTGAGGTGAAATATGCTCTACAATTGCACCGTAGCGGTATGTGGGTTCGACTTCAAACTCCAGTACACGTCGCCAGTCACCATCAATTGAGAGCGTAATTTGGTCCTTGAAAATGTCTTCCAATACGGCGGGAATGTTGACGTTGCTGATGAAGTCGACTGCGTCTGTCAGAATATTAAGTGATGTTTCGTCATCATGGGATCTGCCGACGGCCCAAGACCCGTTCAGTTCAGTCAACAGGGTTTTGAGTGAGATTAGGTTCTCCAGTCCGCTGTTTGACAGCACGTAAGTGAAAATCGGTATGATGTCATCGGTCTCGAGAGCCTCCAATTCAGTCGCCGCGTAGTGCTCGTCCGCATAAGTCGCCTGAATCTGTTTGATCGTATTCGTAAGTACATCGTATTTTGCTGCGGGAAGAGGTACATGAGCAATTTGTGCAAGAATTCTTGATGCTTTCCTCCATTCCTTCCACGAGACCTGATGCAGCGGGATGTTAAAGTAAACTTGGTCTTTTCCTTGTAACCATCTAACTTTGCGGTTAATCGAGGATTCTTCCTCGTGGTACAGACGACGTAGACTCGAGTTAATTTTGTCCTGAAGCGGCACGAAGAGCACTTCTTCCACATGACGAGAAACAGCCGAACGCACTACGTCAAGCGATATCGGCTGCAAGGCTTGTTTCGTGTCTGCATATTTATCACTACTCATACCATCGTTGCCTGGATCCTTAAGTGCTGCCAAAATACGAGCGCCGTGGTCCGTCACGATGGAATCTGTCAGCGTTGCATGGAACTCTCGAAACTGACGAAGCGCTTCTGTGCTTTGAGACTCGTACGAGCTGATAAAGCTCTTATACTTGGCGGCTTCAGGGGACTTGCTTGTGTGAAGCACTTTCCGTAATTCCGCCACAATGCGAATGCTTCGAGCGTCAACGGTGCTAGTACGAACTCGATTTCCCTTTGACGTATCTCCCGATTGTAACAGACTGTTGGTAGCCGCTGTGCCAATAAGACCGGCCGACGGTGGAATTGTGCTGCTACCTCCTCCTGATAAGCTCTGCAGTAGACACACCCACGCGCTTGCATCGTCGTCATTAGATCCAGAACACACAAACGAAAAATCTTCGCCGGCTACTTCAAAACAGAATGGCCTCTTGGTCTCGTCCGGTTCCAAAAAGCGTACTGACAGCATGCCATCCTGTAAATGCATTTCTCCCCGCAGCTTGCCAAAATTGTTTCCTTTGTAGTACTGCAATGATGCCCAGTACTCACCTGTGGCAATATTTGTTCGTTTAATCAGCACAAAATACCGTCGCTTCCATGTTTTCCTGAACGCATGTGTCAACAATCAGTAACATCCTCTTACCACAGCCACTAAATCCACAACGTACATGACATTTGCCTGTTTGTAAAGCCACCCACTGCGCACCAATTCACGGTCAATACGTACAGACGAAGCAAAACTCTTCCTCGATTTCTGGCTGTTGCTCAAATAACTCGACGATAACTCTGTACTGTTCGTCGACATTCTCAAAAGGGTCTCCTGGTCGGGCACTCGGACTGTCTTGCCAATAGGCACACCTCGTCTTGCTGATACTCTCCATGAAAATTTCTTATTGTTCATGTGTCGATGGGCCTTTAATGCGTCCTCTGCTGTCTGCAGCACGGGCACAAAGTCGTCCTCTTCGGCGTCGAACTCGCCTACCACGACTCTGGCGTCTATCCCGTCCTCTCCGTCACTCTTCATTTCCACTTCTTCCTGGTCTGCCACATCCAGACGAAAGCCACTGCTATCTCGAGCCGCTTCCAATACAGGAATATCTCCATCAGAGCCTCCTCGTCGTCTCGATGAGATGGCACGTGGTAGGTTTTGACGTCGCAACGACATTTGGTCAACTCGTGATGCTCCTTGAGCTCTCAAAGACGGCAGAGGTGGCGGTGGTGGGGGTCGCTTTGCGACCTTCTGGAGCTGCACGGGGGACGCCAAATCGTCTATTAAAAAGGTACTGAAGCTCAACTGACGCGCAGAATTCGTTGCAGGGGACGATATTGAGCGTTCCATGTCTCGTTTGAGAGTATCTGACGTCGATCGATGTAGGTCGCTTGTGCGGTTCATGTGTTTAATGACTTTAATTACCGTTCGCCTGGGTTTTTTAAACGTGATTTGGGTTTTTCACTTATAAAGTGGGTTTTATCAAGGTCTCTCCTTTCTCTTACCAGCAAGACGCAAGCGAATGGAGTAGGAGAAAGAGGAAGTAATTGGTGCAAGAGATGATAGGCGTGAGGCTTCCAGCAGACGTCTACAGACGCAGAAATACAGCGCGTATCGCGACGACGTAGTGCGGAATCGACTGCTTCTATGTTTCCCTTTGGACTTTGGGCTTTTCCAGCTGCACAAAATGGGACCAAATCTTGCGAATGACCAATAAGAGGGATGTCGACCAAAATGACGAAATGCGTTCTTTTTTGGCACATAAGTAGCACAGATAGACACATTACGTACTTAAAAGAATTCAGAATGGGTAAGGACTCGATTTACTGGAGACGAGGCTGTTTCTTCATACCCTAACGTAAAGACGACCGTATTCCGTTTATGTGTGAGTCTAGATGAGGTCTATGGATAATTTATGACAAGGTACTACCTAATCCAAGTGAAGTTCCTTTAGGACTGATTGTTGAAAACAGAGAAAAGCTTGAAGACAGTGTTGAATAGTTGGGACGCTGGCTGAATAGTTGGGACGCTGGCTGAATAGTTGGGACGCTGGCTGAATAGTTGGGACGCTGGCTGCACTTATGATACTGTGGAGACTTGTGAGTGAATTTACGGTCGCAGTAACAGCAGAACTCGCTGTTTGCAACCGATTCTTTATCAGGCTCGGGGTTTGGAGGACAAATGGAACCAGCAGAAGGACGATTTATGGAAGTTGTTGATGTCAATTGATTCCTTTCGACGCGTGATGGAGACAGACCGGTAGTAGCTCAATTGCGTAAAGTGGTTCATTTATTTGCAGGCTTGGAATGTGGAGTCTGTAGTATAAAAGCTGGTACGATGAAGAGATATCGGCACGTTAACTATCATCAATCATCATTGGCAGCGAACGTTCTCAGGCGAAAACGTGTATGTAATATATATGTACGTAACTTCTAGTGCTTGAGAATGAAAGACATCTGAAGCATGAATGCTTGTAAAAAGGCAACTTTGCATCAGTGGTCTCCATTTGCTTGTCACTTATAAGCATCCAGCTACTGGATCAGCGGGACCACTTACAGCCAGCTTTAGCTCTCGTAGACTCTTAAGCACATCAACACACACTGTCTTTTATCTAAATGCGACTTACAGTCAATCGGTTGTATATTGGTGCACCAACGATGTAGATGGACCTTATGTAAAGTTCAAAACCACTGTGTTGCTGAGGACTAAGGAATGAAAATCCACTCTCCGTCTCGCATGCGACCGCAGCTCTACCTCTGATAACCCCCTTGTCATTAATAACACACGCCGACGCAACCGTAGATCTTGCTTCAAGCTCCATCTCGAGTGAAGACCTCATGCGTCTTAAAATCCTCACTTGAAACGATATGTGCTATGCTCCCCTTACACCTTTTTGACGATCTGTACGATATCTTCGTCTTGTAGCAAGTGTTCCTTGCCCACCTTCTGCGGCTGGTGCTTACACGACGCTCCCCAGACCCAGGCGTACTTGAAATCTTTCAGTAGCGACTTGTGAATGCGCTGACAAAAGCTCTCCACTGTGGGCGACTCCTCGTGTAGAATAACAGGTGCGTTATAGTCCGGCAGTCTGCCTCGTGGCTTGGTGTAGATGCGGATCATGTGACAGTAGTCCCAGATTGTCTCTAGCAGCTCGTCCAAGTTCCAGCCGTGGTGGGCCGAAATCACCACATTGTGCGGAATCTGGTCAATGATTGTGAGTTCCTCGATCGTAAGCTGGTCAATTTTATTCAACACATAGAGACACGGAATGTACACGCGATTGCCTTCGATCTGATCGATAAACTCGTCCACTGTTACATCCGCACGCAGCGTCACATCGGCGTTGTGGATCTTGTACTCGTGCAAGATCTGGTACACTGTGTCAGCGTCCAGCTCACTTTGTGGACAAGTAGTCTGAAAATGGACACCCCCTCTTTCTTTACGTCGAAAGACCATATTGGCTGGTTTCTTGTTGAGTCGGATGCCAAAACCCTCGAGTTCAAACTCAATGAGCTTCTTGTGAGTCGCTGGTTTCATGGCATCCAATACAATGAGAATCACGTTGCAAGTTCGTGCAGTACCAATGACCTGTCTTCCTCTTCCTTTACCATCCTTGGCACCTTCAATAATCCCAGGCAAATCCAAAATCTGGATACGTGCACCCCGATAATTGAGCGTGCCAGGAATGGCCGTCAGTGTTGTAAATTCATAGGAAGCGGCCTCTGAAAACGTCCCCGTAAGTTTTGTTAATAGTGTAGATTTTCCCACCGATGGAAACCCCACGAGTCCCACACGTGTATCGCCTACTTTATTCACATCAAACCCTTCACCTGTTCCACCACCACTAGATTTCGCACCAGCATCCGTTACTTCACGTCGTAGCTTGGCAATCTTGGCCTTAAGTAGACACAAATGTTTCATTGTTGCTTTATTCTTCTGAGTACGTGCATATTCAGTCTCTAATTCAGCGATTTTTAACATGGCAGATGACATGGCTACGTCGTTAGTTGAGTAATGGATGACAAAGCGAGGAGCGCCGAAGCCCAAAACAACTGGACACGATGACCCAAACTAATCGTTAGGGTTTTGACAGATGTCGACTAAAACGGAACCCAAAACAAAACTGACACTAAATAATCTGATCAATGGGGTGCCGCTCTTCCAAGCCGATAGTCTCCGAGTCTGTGCAGTCTCGTCCTTCAACGCGTTTACAGTCGCCGAGAGACGGTCAGGCGCTGGGTCATAATGCTGTTGTGACTGATAGTCCCAAATATTCCGCTGCAGAGAAGCGAGCACGGGCAGCGGAAGCGGCTGAGACGCGTCAAGGAGATTGGCGTCAGGGCGGTCATGCAGACCCGGACATGTTGCGAAACATTGGACAACGTCGTAAAAAAGATGAGCTATTAGCTACAATCTATAACCGATACACAACATTAGGCAGAGAACCACCGATTGGACTGCCGTCTTGTGAGTTGGAGCAATTGCAACGCCATCTTGAAACGCTGCGCTAAAAGTAGACACTGAATTTGAAAAGAAGTTGTGTTGAATCGAATACAATGGAGCAAGTGCTCGTCATCTCAGTGCTTGGAAACATGGCTACATGCCGTTGTGTCTTGTGCTTTAAGTCTATGACATTTCATGACATTATCTGCAAAGGGCAGGAATATCCAAAGTGCACGATCTATGGCTGTTGTTGCAAGAGCGTAATGCATGATCGAGATTCCCGTGCTGCTTCCAAGTGTCTTCTCTCTCAAAGTTCTTTGTTGTTTAATTTTAGCTCTCGCGCCTCCCGGCAGCACGGTGCTTCAATTTCTTTATATCTGTCCTCTGATGTCAGTCAGTACCTGTGGGCAGTACTTTCGCTCGCTACTCGAGAAAATAATTAAACAAATCACTGAGAGATACGAGCCCCACGCAACGTGAATACTCGTCCACGCACACAAATCGGTGCGCCTTGCATGCCGCGAATCGCTCGAATATCATGTGAAGTGTGTCAGTCTTGTAACACAGATGCAGACCTTCGCCGACATTGCCCTAAGTTCCATAGTTCACGGTCAGCAAGAGTTGGTCCATATGCATGCACAATTTCAGCCAGACAGCTTGCCAACACCCACCTCCGCAGCTTGAATCCTAAGAATTTCTCCCACAGGCATGTCTAATTGGGTAAGTGACCGGTCCTTCACTAACTCGGTGACGTTCGATACACAATAAATATTCACAACAACGCCTAATTCGCAACAACATGTAGACAAAAAATGTTGAGCATCATCACAAGGATGGATTTCCAGTCACCAACTTACCAGTGGGGTCAACTATCGGCACAGCGGAGACCCTCCTCTCAATTAGGGTGTGCAGCACGCGAACAAGCGGCATGTCTTCGGGAACTGTCACGAAACCACAGTAGACGCCTATGCCTAAATCAAAGATGGGCTGGTCGAACAGCCGACGCTGCTCGCGGAAAGTGGCCACCAGGTATTCCAAAATCCCGCTGTGCGTGATGACAGACAAGACCGAGTTCTGGGTTGGGTCTACTACGGGAAGTCTATGAAGTCTATTGTCACGAAGAATTTTGCATACATCGTATAGGTTGTGCTCTGGTGTGACAGACACCATTTCTTCTCTTGTAGGTGCCATCGACAACGATCGAGGAATCGCTGTAGCCATCAAATCCGATATTAGTCTTCGACATTTCCAAACCCACTAGTTTTTTTGAACGTACCTCTCCAGGAGGCAATACTATGTTCTGCTAATTCCTTCATGGGCGATCCACGGATGTAAAAGTGCCGTAAAATGTTAACAAAATCGGTTGCGGTGAACATGCCCACAAATTTGCCCTGCTCAGCGTCCCAAATTGGCACCGACTTGATATCTATTAGGAGCAGTAGCAACAAAAGTGAGTCAGTAATTACACCTTGGAGGTATAAAATATTTGCTGATCTTCTCGTCTTACCATGCTCTACCAGTGCAAAAAAGGCAAGATTAATGGGAATCTTGACATCAAACACCACAACTTTTCCACTATTTTTTATCACATCGTAGCACTGTGTTTCACTCATAAAGGCTGCGATGACCCTCTTGCCTTCCTTTACAATATCTAATACTGATGCCTGTGCCAGATTGAGCGCAGATGACGAGATAGAGCGATAGGAATCGATCATGGACTGGTTTTCGTCCCCTTGTAGCTGTAGTGGGACTACTATATGAGTACGAGGTATCAGGCCATTCGAATCAGTCATCGAATGGACTGTAGGAGAGTCAGTAAAGCCCGAGGTTGAGCTGTGTGGGGCCGGCGGCGGCGTGTCATCTCGCGAGGAGGCGTAGTATCCGTCATGGGACATCCCTCCGTCGCCTCGTTTTCTCTTGCGGTCCGTGAGCGTGGTGGCGACTGCAAGAACAGGTCCGGACGTGGTAGAAACAGCAAGACCTGGAGAAGGAAGAGGAAAGTATCCGTAGAAAGCGCAGCTGAGTGATTTACAGGACGCGAGAGATACCAAAAGATGCACCGAGATTTCGCACAGATAGTGAGATGAAGGAGGAGGGTGATACTGGGCTAGAAAGTGCGCGTGGGTCGTTTCCTAGAGACAACGAGGGTACGAAGACTGAGGGGGTCTTCTTTCGCTTAAAGGTGAATGGAGTTTGTTTTACCTTTTCCATACTAAAAACAAATGTACTGGGTTTTAGCCAATGAAAAAGGATTAAGAATTAGATCAACCGATGTGACGAGCCGTCGTAGGTGATGTGATGTACATAATCGCTCAGTATACAAGTCCGTAGACACACTGACCATGTTACAGTAAGACCTGGTCAATGTGTCTCCTTTAAATTATTGTATGCGCTTATCTTTTTCGTTTTGAACTGCACATTTCTATGGACATCCTCAAGTCTTCACATTCCTACTCAAGTACTGGTTCCTGTAACTTGGTTCCGTCATTTAAAGCTAAATGTTCTGGCTAACGTCAAAATTTGGGCCTTCGAGTCGAACCTCCTACGTCCGACATACGATGAGTTTTGCGTGGCAGCACTCAAATTCCCTGATAAATTCATTTATTTTGAGCTCTGAAAAGTGTCCCACATCTACTTCCTATGGTTTTCTATCTCCCATTATTTTCGTCACTATCTCTTCGATTGTTATCGATTCAAGATCCTCGACCGTCATTTGCAGTAAGTAAGAAAATAGTTATAATAAAGGATGAGATAATAGTGACAACAACGGCTTCAATGTCACGCATAGCGGTACTAGAATGTCGCAAACTGCCACTATTGCGACAATCAGCCAATCATCTCTCTCTACTGCTGAAATTTAGCCACTCCCCTTACACAATCTCGAATTTTCTCGTATATTCTTATATTAACGCATTTTAATCTTAATCCACTTCCCATTTGATTCAGTATTGAAAAAGCAAAGTTTAAAGCAAAACGACATCAGAGGAAGAAGATTGATCTCATGGGGAAAGACTATTACTCAATCCTGAATGTAAACAAAGGTGCAACGGACGATGAACTGCGTAAAGCTTACCGTAAACTGGCGCTTAAATGGCATCCGGACAAAAACCCAAACGATCCAGACGGTGCACAGAAGAAATTTCAAGAAATTGGGGAGGCTTATGAAGTATTGAGTGACAAGAAAAAGCGTGAAATCTATGACATGTATGGTGAAGAAGGGCTGAAGGGTCAACCAGCAGGTCCGGAGGAAGGGGTGCCAGGAGGGGGTATGGGTGGAATGCCAGGAGGAATGGGAGGAATGCCTGGAGGTTTTACATTTACAACATCAAGCGGCGGTTTTCCATCTGGAGGCTTTTCATTTCATTCAACAGACCCGTCTAAAATCTTTGAGCAATTCTTTGGCACTTCGAATCCCCATGAAGCTGAAAGGAATGACCCAATGGCTTCGATGTTTGGAGATATGGGTTTTGGTGGCATGCGTGGTATGAGAAGTGGTGGCTTTGGAGATCGTGGGGATCCTTTTGGTCAGCAAAGACAGCCACGAGCCGAGAAACTGAAGAGTGAACTGGAAGTACCTCTGGAACAGCTGTATACTGGCTGCATGAAGAAGCTTAAGATTACACGGAAGGTACATGATCCAAGCTCAAACCAACTGCGAGAAGAGCAGAAGATCTTGGAGATTAATGTCAAACCTGGTTGGAAAGACGGCACAAAGGTGACGTTTGAAGGGCAGGGTGACGCTTTACCTGGACGCCCGGCTCAAGATATTGTGTTTGTGATTAAGCAAAAGCCACATAACAAATTCCAACGTGATGGTGACAATTTGATGTACCGGGCCAAGTTGTCATTGCGAGATGCACTGCTAGGCAACGGCACGTTGACCGTCAAGACACTGGATGGACGCGACGTGCCTGTTCCACTTGGAGGTGTCGTTGCACCCGGCACAACGATGGTGATTGCGGGCGAGGGTATGCCTCTGCAGAAGATCCCCACGCAGCGGGGCAATTTGGTTGTTGAGTTCGACGTGCAGTTTCCCACGAGCCTTACAGAAGCACAGAAGAATTTGGTACGCCAGGCATTTTAATCTTACTAGTGTTTGTCAACTAGCGCTATATGGAAGATGTGAGTTATTTGCAAGAATTGAAACTAAACTAGGTATGGAAAACTTTGACTCAATATCCGTTCTTATGTATTGGTGTTACGATTCTTACTACTTTTGCCCACTCGCTTACTGTCTTCGCTTCAAATGTTGAATCTTATCTCGAGTAAGCATAGAGTAGCCGACTTACCTGGATTAATGTGCTAGCAACGCATACGCAACAAGAAGCAAATTGAAAAAGTAAACAACGCCAGCATTCATGTGCACTCATTCATTCAAGACAGAAGGATCGTAACCGATCAGATCAAAACTTGCCATCCATCAATCCATCCGTCGTTAATCCATCAATCCATCCGTCGTTAATCCATCCCCATCCTTCTCTCACATGGTGTCGCGACGAATGTGCTGGTAGACCAGTCCTTCGGGCGTGAGCTGCGGCTTGTAGCCGGAGGAAGCAGCCCAGGCGTTGATATTGATGTCGTCCTTGGTGGTCTTAACGACATCCGCCGCCTTCTTCGCTTGTTGCTCTTTGACCCCGGCCAGAATCTTGCTCACCCCGTCTGCAAATGCATTAACATTATCTCCACACTCCAGTCGAAGCACATCAATCTTGAGCTGCATCTGATCCAATAGCATTACATTCTGCTTGGCTAATTTTCTCTCCATCCTGCGACGTTCACTGTTCAGTCCCGAGAGTTGTTTCTGAAGTCGATTGACAAGAAACTCTTGCTCTTGTTCCAATTCGTTCTCAAGATGAACCTTTTCGTTCAAAATCCTCGCTACTTGTGACTCCAATGCTTTCCTCACCCCATTGTCTTCACTCTGCAACTCTTGCAACAGTCGTTCCTTGTCAGCACGAGCAGCTTCAAGCTGCTTTGAAAGACGGTTGACAATATATTCCTGTTCATTCTCAAGTTTATTCTCGAGATCAATCTTCTCCTTTTGTAATTGATTCAATTTTTTCTGTAATTTATTCGTCAAAAGTTCTTCTTCTCTCTCCACCTCGAGAGCCAATTTCTCTTTCTCGCTCTTGACGTCATAAAGACGTTTAATAAGACGATTCGTCATTCGTTCTTCTTCAAATTCTGTCGATTCTCCCAATGCTACAAGAGATGCACGAAGTGTCTTTACTTCCAATTCTAATGCAGCTGTACGTTGACGTTCCAAAACTAACGCATCGTCTTCCACGGGGTTGCAGCCATGAGATTGCATTGGGAATGAATGTAATGGGCTCGAAGGTTTTTGAGAAATGGACAAAGAGGTACGACAGTGTGACAGAAAAGTGGACGACGGCATGAAAGGAAGAAAGATTTACGTAATTTGTAGTGATTTAATGTATTTGAAGGATCAGATGAAGCGTTCAATTAACTGCATACAAATCTGATTCTTTAGTATCAGTTGAGGCTGCTTCGCTGCGTTTGTTCTCTGCGCTTCTGGGTTGCATACTTTTCAATCAAGTCGGAAGGATGTATAATCAGAAAATGATATCATCCATCTTGCTTCTAGAAATGCCGATATCGTAATTGTTCTGGACTTACGATCAATATTTTGTTACAATTTATTGTGGATATTTCATCTGAAGCACTACATATATCAGCTTAGTATCGAAATGGCGTGATAGTGAAGGCAATTTAAGTATATAAAAATAAAGCTGCATGTTTTGCAAGGCATTAATCAGGGTGGCACACTTATTTAGCATGTTTGCTTTGGATGACACACTTATATAGCATTTTTGGACTGACAAATTTCTAGAAGTTTTTGTTTCAAGTTTTGCCACATGTCAGCAAATGACCTTTTCCGACTTGGGGTTCGGGCTAATCGACTCTATTATAAAGATCTCTATCGCTTATTGATTTCAAATACGACACAATCTCCTTATTCGATGTCTTCGTCGTCTCCATGGGGCGGCTGGGGCACGAAGCTCAACGTGACGTCGATAGTATCACAGGGACTGGAACAAGTCCGTAATCTTCGTGAAGATGTTGAAAAATCCTTTGATCAGGTGGTAACAGGCGCTCCAGGAGCTCGCGTTTCGCTTCCTCTTACTTTAAAATCACAGCAACAAATTGAGGACAAAGAGCTTGATAAGGAGGTAATTACGATACAAAATGAGGCGGATGTGGGTCAAAATGAGGTGATTGTAGCAGTTGGAACAACGTTAAGTGAGGATAGAAAGTCTATTGAGGTCTTAGAAGAGAAAATTAAAGTTGAGGAGGCTGAAGAGAACGAAAAGGACGAGCATCAACAGAATGTGATGAATGCGAGTGAACAAGAAGAAGGAGAAGAAGAAGTGAAGGAGATGGAGATGGAGCTACAAGAAAAGAAGGAGATGGAGCTACAAGAGAAGAAGGAGATGGAGCTGCAAGAGGGTGACAAACAGGATTTACAAGCTGTCGAAGAGGTCGCGCTTTTGTACGAAGAGCAAGAAGAGGAACAACAGCAGGAGATTGAGATTGAGGAGAAGATAGTGGAGGACAAAGAGGACGAGGTTCAAGATGAGGAAGATACTTTGGAAACGACGAAGAGTGTGGATGAGTCAAATGATGAAGAAGCTGAGCAAGAGCAGGTGGTTGCTGCTGCAAGCGATGACGTGAAGGTAGCGGTTTTAGTGAAGGAGCTTGAAATGCGTGAGTCGCAGCTGTTGGCAACGTCGGCGACTATCCGTGAGCTGCACGATGAGCTGGACAAGACGTGCCGTCGAGAAGTTGCAGCAGTAGAACGTGCAGACTTTCTTACGGAGCAACTGGAAAACACGCGGCGCGAAGTAGCAAAGCTGACGCAGCTGCACAAAGACGCGAGTAGTCAAAATGCTGATGTACAGGCGCTGCAAATGGCTCTTGCAGAGAAGGAGGAGAAGTTGAGTGCGTTGCTAGATGAAGGTCAGGCTCTGTCGGTCAAGCAGGCGCAGATGGAGCAGAGACTGCGTTCACTACGTAAAGAAAAGGACGAGCTGGAGAAGCAAGCATTATCATCTCAGGCACAAGTTGAAGCGTCAGCAGAGGAGATGAAGAAGATTGTGTCGAAGCTGAAGGCGAGCGAAGAAGAAAAGACGAGCCTTATGCAGGAAAACCTTAAACTTGCGCGTAATACGGAGCTGACGAGTGCCAGTGTCGAAAAAGCTGAGCAAAGTGCGCTAGAGGCTACGCAGCAGCTGGAAAAGTTGCAGGCAGAGCTGGAAAAGCTGACTCTCGCTTCTGCCATCAAAAGTGAAGAGATTGAGAGACTGAAGATGGCTTCCCAGTCCAATGAGACTCTTAACCATGAGAAAAAGGAGCTTCAACAAACATTGCAGTTTCTGCAAGCTAATGTCCGCGACTTGGAGAAAGAGGTAGCTCGCCGCGAGGAGATGGCGCGGGCAGAGATTGCAGACCTGAAGCGTAAATGGCAGGACGCTGTGGCTCGTGTGGACATACTAGGACAGAGCGTATCCGAAGCTACTCAGCCGTTGTTTCGCCAACTTCATGCATTGCAAGAGGACCAACGTGCGAGACAAGATAATTGGAAGGCGACGGAGAACACGCTTATTTTACGCATTGAAGAGGCCATAGAACAACGTCGTGTAGCAGAGCAGGAGAAACTTGATATGAAGCAGCAATTGCATGAATTTCGACGGAAGGTGGAGGAAAGCGAGTTGGAAATGACAAGGATACAGGCCGAACTTGCACGCTCGCAAGATGCTGTGGAAAGTACTAAGGCTCGTGCTCGCGAGTTGTGCGGACGGGCTGATGCACTCCAGATTGAGTTAGATCAGGCTAAGCGCCAACGCGACGAGCAGACAGAAGTAAAAGAGCAACTTCAGGCCCGATTAGCTAATGTTGAGAAGTCTGCAAAACAGTTGCAGGCTTCATCGGCCGCGACAGTTGAACTGAAACAAATTCGTGAGCGCGAGGAACAGCTTCGTCAGGACCTGGAGTGGCACCAACAAGAGCTTCTGCGATTAAAAAACTTAACGGCACAACTTGTGTCTGCACCTGTATCTACAGGCTCCACATCTTCGCAGCGTCATTATGTGAGGCGAAGGTTTGACGGCGAGCAGCCCAATGGATCTGAAGGTGTCGATGGTGAACTATCTTCTGAGGCATTAATTCTCAAAAAAACGTTGGAAACAGCAATGAGCGATCAACTCACGTTGAATGGTCACAATACGTCGGTGTTGAGACTCAGTCAGCTGCAGCAGCAATTACGTTTACGTGAGGGCGAAAACCGAATGCTGAAACAACAGCTAGAAACATTAGAGGCTCGACAGAAACAAACGACTGACGAGATTGTTCGACTGAGCTCGCGCAACGCGTTGTTGGAGAGCGGTGAAACACAACGCGAGCAGGCACAATTAGAATTGGTGAAACTACAGAAGCACCAAGTGGTGCTGCTCGAACTGTTTGGTGAGAAAGAGGAGCAAGTTGAGGAGTTGCAAGCTGAGGTAAAAGAGCTTAAGGCGTTTTACCGAAAGCAGCTCGATGCGCTGGCTACTCATAATGAGGAACAGCAAAAGCAGCGAGCAGAACAACAGCAGTAGTGCACGCACGTGAGACTAATCAATGGGAAGCCCGATTTCCTGCTCGACTTGATCCATCTTTCCTACTTGTTGTTCGAAGAATACGTTCCGATGCGTATGCTACTGTGTGGAGTCATAGATCCGAGAGGCAAGGGGAAACGACCTCCTTTTGAGAAAATTGGTGTTTTCAAGTTCAGCTGAAACACACGACCCTATCGTCCCCAGCTTTTTGTAGAGCTTCAGCTTGCATTCTAAGGCTCTAGATGAAAGCTTTGTCCTAATTGTCCCGGTTGGCAGGCCAATGATGCACGATCGTGAGGTCGTTTGCTGGGCGTTTATCTCTGGTGTCGAAAAGGTTTCCGAAGCGAGTTTTGGATTAAGTCATGAACCTAGAGCACAACAACATGAAGCTTCACTCCCATTTTCCACATTGAAGTGGGAGAAGTATATCGTCGCAGAGGCTGGCGATTTGCTGTGGTGTTATCGTTGACAGTAACGTCGGTGTGAGCAGAGCCTTAAAGATTAAAGCTTGTTGCACCATACAGCAAGCTAAGCGTGTCCAAAACATTAGTGCCGCCGAATCCAATCGGTCACCGTCACGTTCATCCAATACATTACACTATACTTGAAGTACAAACCTTCTCGAGCGTTTACAGTTCATCCTCTTCGAGCAGCATATTTGGCACGGCGTTCGACACTTGGTAGCTACGTCCACAGTTGTTGCACACCAGCTCTCCCTCTACGATGTTCGTCTGCATCATGGAAGAAAAAACAAATCACACGCCCACAACCGTCAGACATTGACAATCAACAAGGATCCAGCCCCACGTCACCGTAGAAACGTCTTTCTCCACTGCTACTTACGTCAAAAATGACACGATGGATCAGTTTCAGCAAGTCGTCCTGCTCTGACAAGTCAGCAGGAAGATGCTCTGGTAAAGTCGGCACCTCCGGATGGTTTAACTAGAGCCCCAGTAGCAATGAAAATGATCGGTGAGGACCTTTGAAGCATCAAAACAAAGCATCGTCACAAATTCACCTCTTTGGTGGTGTGGCATAGTGCAGGATAGTCGATGGAGCGCATAATATGGAGCATAAAACTTTTACTGAACTGTGTCTTAAGTACAACAACACCATCCATCTCTGGTACAATCTATAGAAAGCATTCCTTAGTCTCTATAGTCCACAACAAGCACAAGTCCACGGAATTCAACGTACTTTCAGTGGAAAATTAAGTGGACGAGCGTCTACGTCGCGTCCAGCCGTATCAGCACACGCCTATCGATAGAACAACGAACCATATACCCGTTACTTGTTGGCTGTATGATATCCGCATATCCAGCGCCATTTCTTGTGCTAGTCACCTTGACATGGCATACGAGCATATTGTGCGTCAGCAGCCGCATCTTCGTCTCTCTGGTGTCCAGTGATAGTCGCTCAGGTCTTTTTACACTTGGTTTCACTAAGTGGACGCTCACTTGGTGGACCTAAGTGGACCTAAATATTCTCTTTCGACCAATCACTGTCTGCGAATCAAACGACTGGAGCGCGAGAGTAGAGGACCAGAGCATCATAGCGGAAGCTGCTCCACTTTCTTCCATTGCTGCCTGTGAACGACCCAGTGACTTGAAAAACGTAGTGAGATCATGGTCAAGAAGAAAGGAAAATCCAAACGATTATCTCTACATAAGAAGTACAAGATTGCTCGTAAAGTGCGTGAACATAAGCGACAGGAACGCAAGTCGGATAAGCTCAATCAACATAAGAAGAAAAAAGATTCAGGGATTCCCAATAATTGGCCGTTTAAAGAAGAATTATTGCTACAGGTAGAGCAATCACGATTGGCAGAGATTGAAGCGCAACGTCAAGCTCAACAACAACGGAAAGAGGACAAGAAGAAGGCGAAACTGCAGACTAGACTTGAACGAAACAAGGCCGTGGCACCCGTGACTCCATTAAGTGTCGAGTTACAGGCTAAAAAGGACCTTAAACATGCTGTACAAGCGGCAGATGTAGTGCTCATTGTGCTGGATGCACGTGACCCACAGGGTTCTCGTTCGCTCTCGCTCGAGGACGGTCTGGTGGCCAAAGGACACAAGAAGGTCGTTCTTGTACTCAATAAAGTGGACCTTGTATCAGCTCATACGGCACAGAAATGGGTCACTTATCTACGTCGCTTCCACCCGACGATTCCTGTGCGTGCGTTAAACGCCAAAATGTCGGACAGCTCCAAGAAAACCAGACAGGAGAAGGGTCATAAAGCGCTCTATGACCGACAGCAGGAGATTAGCGGCATGCGTGACAATGGAGAGGTGCAGCCATTGCGTGTGTTTTTAAATGAACTGGCTAACAGCGTGGATAAACCCATTAGTGTGGCTGTCGTCGGGTACCCGAACGTAGGCAAGAGCACACTCATCAACTCGATCAAGCGGCGCCAGATGGCCAACGTGTCGAGCAACCCGCAGTCTACTAAGACTGCACAGGAAGTGCATTACGGCGAGAAGATTATGCTGGTGGATTGTCCTGCACTGGACCCGGACTACAGCGACGAATCGGCTGCCATCCTGCGTCATGGAATTGCTGGAGTTTTTGTGGAAGATCCCGTGCCCGTTGTGAAGAGCATTGTTGAGCGGGGAGATGCCGTGAACCTCATGCAGACGCTCCAGGTCCCCGTGTTCCGGAATCACGAAGAGTTTCTTACCAAGCTTGCCATCAAGCAAAACATGCTCCGCAAGGGCGGCGAACCGGACATTCTCATGGTGGCACGGACGTTCTTGCAGAATATGGGCAAGGGTGTGTACAGCCCTTCGTGTCTGCCGCCGGCCAAGTCCAAGTCGCGGTTTGAGGTGCCCACCTGGTACAAGAAGCTGGATCTTGCTACGGTATGCTTGCTTTAAGCTGTGGTCTTATCTTGTGATACTGAACAAACGCTTGTTACTCAGCTCCCTGATGCCGAAACGCTGCTGTACAGCTCCAATGCGACTGGCCACAAGCGCGTGCTCCTCTTCAAAGCAGCTCCTGTCTCACATGCTGTCGGAGAAACCACAGAATACGACCTTGTTATGGGAGAGCTACCGGAAAACGACGGTCTTACATCAGAAGAGGAAGATGAGGATGGCGACGCTGATATGGAAGAGGAGGAAGAAAAAATGAAGGATGGCGAGGAATAAGCGCTGCCGCTTGTGGGGATCAGAGGCGCTATTGACAGCTAGTAGTAGAGTTGATGCAGCGCGTTGCTGTTTTCCAGCTAGACCGATACATGTACTTATTAATCTTGATGCGCTGCCGCGGAGTGTGTTTTTCGCTTGAAGTGGCGATTGATGGTCAGATCAACTACTCACTCGTGAACAAGATGTTGCCGACATGTATAAAGCAGCTTTGTTTGAGGCTTTTTAAAGATTTGTTCGCATTTGGCAACACTCCCAATCGCGCAATATTCCATCAGCCACTGCCGTGACCAAATTTCTTTTATTCAGACGTCACTTGTTACAAAGTAAAAGAACAGAGATATTGACTTGTAAGCTCTTGCCCACTGTGCGTCAAGTCCGGAGTTCAGCTCAAGTCTCAATCCGTTGAGTATTTAATTTCTGTGACAAACACTCCACATCCTTGGTTACTCGACCTGTTCCATCAATTCGTCGTATTCTTCACGTAGTACAAGGGCATCTTGTAGCATCCCTGCTAATTGGACAGTTGAAAACTCTTCCTCCTTTGGAGCTTTTGCTCGAGTTTGGCAAATGCATTTGCTTTTCGCACGACGGCACTTGCGACAAAAGGCCTCACGTGTTTCTCCGTTTGCTGCTTTCTTGGTACTAGGCACGTCCTCCGGTACAGGATCCACATCCATATCCACGGCAACATCGCTATCCTTTCGCACTTCATAAAATAATTGGAGCAGCTGGTGAAGCTCCGACGAGTCCAGCTTGGTCAGTGTTTTAACTTGATTACTACATGGGCAGCACAAAGCATCAGACCTCGCCTCTTCATACTGGTAGCAACACTAAACAGCTAACCCACCTTCGCTCTCCTTCTGCAAGTTCATTGGGTTTAATATCGTAAGCTACAAGCATCAAAATTGTTGCGATGCAGGTCCACTAGTACAAAAGGATCATTAGTTTAAGACACCGCAAAACATTAAGCTCCTCATAGGCGCCGTACCTGGTGCGTGTTATGGGTGTCAATGGCGTCACGAAGTGTAAATGTCTCTGTAATAGTGTCGATACGGTGGTTTGCAAACCGGTCGCTGGCAAGTTTGAGCTTGAGTGCTACTTGAGGCAACGGACGCCGCAGCATAAGAGAGAGAGAATTCCACCTCTCCAAACGAGTTTGACGCGCACGACGGCGTGCAGCAGCAGCCTCGGCCTTTTCTGGCCCTCCAACTAAGGGATCTTGGTCGTCCATCTCCTCGTTCTTATTAGAAAAAGGTTGTCCTGCCACTAATAGTGTCGTTTCATGGGTAATCCAATTGGAAAACAATCCCCAGAGGTGGCAAAATAATGGCAGGTCATTCAGATTCACCACTTCTCCGTCATCAAAATCCGAGATCTCAAAGCTGCCAGCAGAAGACACGTCACTTGCAGCCGCATCGCTCTCATCGCTGTCGCTAACTATGACATCATCGTCATCATCTTCTTCTTCTTGACTTTTTTTTACTATCTTCTCCACTTTTTTCGCCAGTTTCTGCTTGTGTGCTGGAAACACGTAGCCTTCGATAAGCATCGCATGCTCAGCCGTCGGGAAGTTTCTGTCAGGAAGTGCAGGTGCTTGGTTCTCCTTCAAGCTCATCTTTTCCAATGCTGGTGGAACACCCATAGCCATTGAATTTGCCGTCGAGTGTCTCCTTTCAACAATACCAAGATCGTGTGTCTTGGCCCATATCGATCTGACCTTTGGCATTGGCCTTGGATTCTGTATTACTGGATTCTTGACGTTTACAATCGACTTTGTATCGTCTTCGTAGTCGATAGGATTGGGTTTATCCGTGCCAAATACGTCGATCAACGATGGTGCCAGCTGTGGGGGTTTCTGAGCCAATCTGGACAGCAAGACACGAGCTTTCTACAACAACAAAGCAAATAGACACAAGGTTATTGCTTACAATTTTATCACAAAATCACCATTTCTGCAGCATTTTAAAAGCGTAGAACAAGCTCAAAAAAGTCAAGAAACAATTGAATCGGTACCTTAAGGCACGTCTGTGAGCAGAATTGCTGCTCATAAGAAGCATCATAGATCTCTTTACGAGCCAATGAAACCCGTAGCTTGCCTCTTGACCTGATCACGACCAAACAAATCACAATATAAAACAAGCAATTTCATTGGCTAAAAAGAAAGTACGAACTTGGACAGTAAGGTATCACAGCTGGGAAAGGCACAGAGTTTAGCAGCTGCACGCTCTTGAAAAACTTCTTCCATCTGTCGACGCTGTAGAAGACGACCGCTTAGTTCTAGATAACGCACAGGTACGTGTGGTGTTAATAGCGTCGCCATAAGCGCAAAAGCTTCGTGGACAGTCGAGCCATTAACGCTCGTCATGCTCTTGGAAAGGTTTTGAAATCTGTGTAAACCACATTTTAGCATACGTGTAGCCATGTTGTATCTAGATGTACCCATATGCAATTCTTCAACTTGGTTATCTCCCATTCAGCCAATCAGCATCAGTCTCTGACGATTTTTGAGACTCCAAATCCGCACATCAGAATCAAATTTGCGTCATTCCTCCAAAGTCAAAAAAAGTCACAGTCTTTGACTATGTTTTCTATACGTCCGATCCGTCCCTCTTTTTCGTCGTCTTTCCGTCGTCCGATTACCCGTTACTTTTCTTCTAAAGGTTCATCACTTTATTTCGTTCTCTCTCTTTTTTATTCACACTAAAAAACGTCATTTTTCATCTCTACAGCCGAGTATGAAAACATTCGCACGGAAGTTCGGGGGAAAGTCGCCATCATTACGTTACACCGTCCCAAAGCACTTAATGCTTTATGCAGTCCCCTTATTGAAGAACTCAATGGTGCAGCTCATGCCTTTGATGCTGATCGCAATATTGGTGCCATTGTTATCACTGGTAGTGACAAGGCGTTTGCAGCTGGTGCGGACATTAAAGAAATGGCATCCAAGAGTTTTGTGGACGTCTACAGCAGCAATATGTTTTCTAATTGGGGAGACATTACTCAGATATCCAAGCCTGTGATTGCTGCTGTTAATGGCTACGCACTTGGTGGTGGCTGTGAGCTCGCCATGCTCTGTGACCTCATTATCGCCGGAGACTCGGCCAAGTTCGGCCAGCCAGAGATCACCCTGGGCACGATTCCAGGCTGCGGTGGCACCCAAAGACTGATACGGGCTGTCGGCAAGGCTAAAGCCATGGAGATGATTCTCACGGGCAATATGATTGACGCTCAGCAGGCTGAACGCGACGGCCTCGTGGCCCGTGTCGTGCCGGCCGATCAGCTGCTAGACGAGGCACTGAAGACGGCCAACAAAATTGCCAATTTCTCACAGCCGGTGGTCAAGATGGCCAAGGAGGCCGTGAACGCCGCCTATGAGCAATCCCTGCAAGAAGGACTCAAGTACGAGAGCCGTCTCTTTTGGAGCTCGTTTGCCACGAAGGACCAGAAGGAGGGCATGGCCGCCTTCGTGGAGAAGCGTAAGGCTGACTTCAATAACGAGTAAACACCGACTGCTAATCGTGTCCACTGCCGTGGAAATTTGTGGAAGTGAGCTCAAGAGATTAAAATCAAAGCAAAAACATGATTGAAATCCACTTGTATCTATTTAGCTATTGCAAACTGCAGTCTCCATCACGACATGGGCAACAAGAGTAACGGTTATGACCGACACCATGCTCAATGTGTCATCATGCCCGTCGTCTAAAGCTCGCGCAATAGCTACAAGCTTCTTTAAAAGAGCTTCTAAGGCTGTCGCTACAGACCGAGCACAATGGTGCTCGCCATGAGAACATCCGTCAGCATCTCTTCACGTACCTTTACTTTTTTTAGATGAGCTCTCTGTCGGACTAATACCTGCTACCGTCTTGTTCGTGCCATTCATCACGTAGGTGTAGTCGCTAGCATCGCCACTGTCGCGCTTCTTCTTCTTGGAGAGCTTCGTGTTTGGCGACCTCTTTCGCAAATGCTTACTATCGCTCTCACCACATTCCACAAACTCAAAGACCCATTCAGGGATCTCTGCCCGCGTTACATGATCGATTTGCATGTCCATTCCACCGTGACGGGCCTCCCACTGATCCGTGTAAAACGCGAAATCACGAATCACGCTCGTCAAGTTTATACTATGAGTCGCGCCAGTCACTGGAACTATTTCTGGGGCAGTAAAGCCTAGCCCGATAAACAGCCACGACGTATGCACCTCACATTTTGATGAGCTCTTAGGACATGTATCCTTTGTCTCAATAAAGTCAAAGAAGCGGCCAAATGGGTATATTCGCAAATTCGGGAGTGCTTCCAATCTAAATAGAACAGCGAAAAAGTCAATAAACGCCACGAGGCAATTGACATGACCACATTAAGCGTTAACAGCACTCCAGTTATGCATACAAAATAACCCTGACTTTTGTATCAGACTTCGGATAAGACCGAAACGTACCGAAGGAACAACTGCCGCAGTCTTGACACAACCCAACCAAACCAACCGTCAAAGTCTTCAGCACTATTCGCCATTATCTGAACACGAAGAAAGTGTTTTGACCTAGATATTGACACAATAACAAGAGAAAAAAGTCACAAAAAGAGTCTACGTGAGGGTGAGGAGAACCTCGACAAAAATGGAAAGACCAAGCAGGGATCACAGACAAAATTGAAACCTTTGGAAAAACTTTGGAGGTACGAACAGCTTTGCCCACGATGTTTTCTGCACACGCTAATGTCAGCAACAGAGTAAAGTATACGCAATAAAAACACCAAAGTCTCCTACCTTGGTCTCAATCTCTAGAGTCCGATCAAACCCCTTCCCAAACTCTGACTTCAGAATGTGGAGGGTCGAAGCCATCACATTATACGATGAGTTTATCGCCGGGTATGCGGGCGTAATGATTGGCATCAAGTGCAATCGGTCGCGCACATTAATTTTAGGATTCCATCCCTAACACAAATCAATCAAACCAAATGTTAGTCCTTAACAATGCACGTACTGCGGACACTTTGGCGACGCATGAGGCGACACTTTGAAACGTCGCGTCGGTATCCGGAGAAACAAAAAGAATTGCATCACCGAGAAGCCAAGATTCAGCGGGTTATCAACCCGGTCGACCATGATCGGATTTGGCCACGTCCACATCTGGTATATCCTGAAAAAGCGTGCGAGCAACGACGCCGGCAGCAAATTCGGATAGAACTGGCAGATCCGAGCGACTAGAATGGCCCAGTTGACACCGCCGAGAAAGCCTAACACATTCGAGTAGATCCCTCGCATCTGCTGAAACGCGCATTGGTCACACAAGAGCAAAGCCTACTCCAATACGTCTTTACCCACGTACTCTTGCCCAATGCTTGACGGCAATCAATGTCGTCCGGAATGTGTCTGGGTTCGGCACGAGCTGCAAGATCCGTTCCGTAACACGCACCCCATTACAGCTTCGCACCGAGGTTTCGTCCAGTCCTTTCAAGTACCGATCGTCCAGTATGTCGAGGTCTTTTGGGATCGAATCCAGATCCAGTGACACAAAAAGCAGATCCACTGGAATCCCGTCCACTTTCATCTTGATCACAGGTACGAACCTATATACAAAACATCAACTTGTCAAATTCAAATATCATCTCACTTTAGTAATTACATACGCGTCACTGATGACGCGCAGCCCCGTGACATTAGGTGACGTCTCCAGTAGAATCGGTGCCTTGTCAAAGAAACTCGCCTGTGTGCAGTGTCGAGGCGCAATGCACAATCTGGTCATAACATAACGCCCATCAGCATTGTAAAGTATTGTAGCATACTAATGGTCACTTGTTACGTGTCAATGTCGGCCTCTCGACTCTGCACACCAAGGCGATAGGAGCCAAACGTGCGTAGCTGCAGTTGCGGCTGTGGGCGCTTTGAGGTCGTCTCGTACTCATGGAGTGCGTATTCCTGTAGCACATGATGCAATCTTTTAAGTACGCGCCCTCGTTGGGCTAGGCGTTCTTCTGTCTCGTACAGGCCGCAGGAACTAACAAAATGGGTACATATCGTCATTTATGAACTAAACAAAGCTTCTAGAAGGCAGTAGAGAGAAAGAGAGATAGCAATACATACTGTAGCGTCTGCAGTAGCTCCTCATTAAGACGTTTATCTTCGTCCGAAGGTCCAGCAGTGGACAGCGGCGTCATCATAGCTACTTGACGGATGGACGTCACTAAAGTGTTTGTTACAAAAGAATGACACACGCTAGTGAACCCAACCTGGCTATGTACAGAACAATTAAATTCACTAAATTTGGAAATTGTTCAGGATAAAGTATTATTAGCAGCACCACCCCCCCTCTCGCAGAGCCACCGAAAGACGCATTCAAATTTATTGTACAGCAAAAGAGCGAATTTGGCAAAGTGTGATCACATATTTTCGGTTAAAACCGAAATGGTCAATATTGATGAATCGCGATCCCGCAGAAGAAGTTTCGAGACGATTGCAAATGGGATGGAAAACAGTGTGGTGGAGTTCGCAGTTCTATGTGAAGTTAACTATGGCCTAGAACTACGCAATTGCGATCTCCGGTATTTTGGATGGCGATCCGCGTGAACGCGATCGCTAAGAAGGAGGATTGGTACATCCAAGTATGTGGAAGACGGTCTGGTGTGGATCACGTCGCTATGGAAGACTGGAATGAGGTGGACATGACATGTCATATAGATTCATATAGATGGACCATTTCACATGACCCGAGGAACGGTGAAGAGGACAAGTCGTGATCAGGCGGACCGCGATCCGATACTACTTATTAGTACCGCGATCCGATACTAAAATGGTATTAGATCCGATCGAGGTAGCGATCCAGATCGCGGCGATATTGGAGTGGACCATATTACAAGATCTGATTTTTCCGAAAGGGTGATACGTGGCAATAGATCCTGAGCTACAGATAGGCAAGATCATAGGATTGGTAGTTGATTGGTTAACATTAAAGAGAGCTCAATTTGCTTCTAAGTACACGTGTCGACTTCTCTATTCCGGGCAGTATATTTGGCCTCAAGACGCCAAGAATATCGACTACAAGTGCACCCTGGATTGTTTGGCCAGGTAAAGGAATTCTCAACACAACAACTCATCTGCAATCGGACGCAGAAATACAAGTAAGGGCAAGGCAAGCAAGTGCAAGACGAATTAAGTGGTCAGAAGGTTCTGCTCAAGTGGTCAGAAAATTCAAGCTTCGCTGTGGTGAAGTGCTGTTTTTGCGATATGGGGACCCCATAATCCAGTTGGATTCGGAGTATAGACCGTGGGTCAGGGACAGGAGACCAGAGAGACAGGGGCCTCGAAGGGGAGCGACCGTTGGCGGAGAACAATCTGCAGGACCCACAGAAGAAAAATCAGTATCAAGGTACCGGTGAACCGGTGCCGAAGGGAGTGGACCATGTCTTTCCATTGATCGACCCGGCCCCTCGTTGGTAGGCCCAGGCCCCTCATCGGTCGACCTGGGTCCCTCAGTGGTCAACCCGGTCCCTCAGTGGTCGACCCGGTCCCTCATTGGTCGACCCAATCCCTCATCGGTAGATCTGGATCCCTCAGTGGTCGACCTGGGTCCCTCAGTGGTCGACCCGGTCCCTCAGTTGGTCGACCCGGTCCCTTATCGGTCGACCCGGTCCCTCATTGGTCGACCTGGGTCCCTCGTCGGTCGACCTCGGCTCCTCGGGGTTCAGCCACTCCTGACCAGTTAACACAAGGATCAGACCAGTCGACGCAAGGAATCAGAGCTTCAGGCAAGGATAGAGTAAAGGAGTTAAAAGGATAGGACTATATCAAATACTACTCAATTTGCGATCTACGTGGCACGACTCCGTCACCCAAGAAGAACTTGCTCTAAGCTACTCACTGTTTCAGGAAGGGATATATTTTGGCTCCCCGTCGAAGACAGTTGTGTAGCGAAGTTCAAGTGCGAATAGAGCTCCAGGATATATTTGGCCTGTGAGATCGTTCGAGTAGCAACAACCCCCAAGACCCGCTATCGGAAGCGGCCTCCCTTACCTCACGATCCGGAAGCAAAGTAAAGGTCAGGCGGTTGATAAGAAGGAAAAGGCCAGGGATAAGCTCCCTGAAGAAATTTGGCTCCAAGTCCACTCTCGACAAGGTCTATCGAGTGGCCACCTACCGGCCCACCGAGTGAAGCATATTTACTCGAGGCCCCCCAGGTCTACCTCCCTCAAGGCAGACGTCTACATCTTCACCAAGTCCTCCGAAGAGTGCAACCCGCCAGCCGACGGGTATACAAGGTGAGAGAAGGTCCATACGCGGCATCGGGGTATCCCCTACGACAGTCGTCAATCCGGAACAGTGAGTGGTTAGGGATCTCTTCATACAGTTTTGATAACCCACTCCACCACAATGGTGCGCGTGCCCGGATCTTCGGAAGACGCGGGGGTTCACCGCGAGTCCCAAGACAATAAAGATGTTCATGTCAAGAAGGAGCACAAGACCGAAGAGCCACTGGAAGACCGATCGCCAGTGACTCAAGAAGAAACAAACAAAGGATCGAAGGACCGACCGAGCCTTGGGAGGGGCCCGGTCAACATGGTCGAGGTTGAACTTATTGAGGAGAAACCTAAATACCCTCCCTATTTCCTCGTAGAGGACACCTTGGGTCATGATTCCTATCACGATCCAGAGGACCATCAGTCGACGGTAAAATCGAGAGGCTAAGGTCCCCGAACAAACAAAAAACAAAGATCATGCAGTCCAAGCCGACAAAGTTCCGGATGAAGGCACCCGGAAACACCAAGTCGATAGGCCCCTAGAAGTCAGGACTGGCATCATGGTCAGACGCTGACGTCACGAGGGCCTACCACCAACGAAAGCTGAACGCGTTCCTGGAGAGCAACCCCGTCGCGAAGACCCTGGAGATCCGGCAGTTGGGTCATTACTGGGCCGGTGTCGACCCTACCACGGAACCAAACCATCACGGACGCGATCACTGCGCTGGTCAATTTTCTTCGTGAAGCGAACATGGTCGCTGGACGGTTCGATCCGAACGACCTGCTGTCCCTGGGATTCGACAGAATCACAAAGACGCTAGAACATATACACAAGCGTCTGTCGATCCTGGTGGGTACCACACCAGCAACGGAACACCCTCCTCTGGCGACACCTACACACACAAACACGGTCCAAGGAAAGCCAGATGACGCTTCAAGACATCATGGTATATCCTCGCATGTACGGAGCCGCCGGCCACCCAGGGGCGAACCAAGGCCCATCCCAATACCTGACGTCAAGCGGCCAAATGGCAAAAGCTCCGTGGTCCCCAGGATCGTCCTCGACTGGATCAGTCACTAGGATGTCCCTGGGCCCTACTGGGGCGGCGCTGCTCCAGTCCCGAGCGCGCAGCGCGGAGCAGGAACCACGTGGTCTCGAAACGGCGACGCGTGCCAAAAATGAAACTCATTCCGATTTTCAGCCGATGGAAAATCGGCAAGAGAGAAAAATGGAATTTGCTCTGCCCCGTGACGAAGATGCTGGGGGGGGCCCGGTAGGTGATCTGCAGACCCTCTTCGACGCGGCGATGGAAAGATTTTTTGAATGAACGCCAAGTACCGCGGGAACACCCTAACGGGAGTGTAGCAGGAGGAAGACAAGAGGCGCAAAGGACGACCGCTCAACATGACCAGAACCCAGGCATACAAATGCCAAGAGGCCACACGATGACCGGCGTCGATATGGAATCCGTCGGTTCTTGTGAGTTCGACCTGACAGTATGGATTTGAGGGAACCTCAGTCGATGATGGCGAACGCAGCGCTGGGACAGATGCCAAATATGGTCCCTCGCATCAAACTCTCGGCGACCTCGGACCTTAAAGAATTTCATGGAAGAGACCAAGACGAAGACAGAGCGCGCAGCTGGGTATCGACGGTCAAGACAGCATTCATAAGAGACCAAGCACCAGATGATGAACGATGTCTCGTTTTTGGAGGATTGCTGACTGGACCGGCACAGGATTGGTACCTTCAACTGTGTCGCTCAGTCCGAGGAAACTGGAAGGATTTAATCCAAGAGTTCATGATTCGGTTCTGTGGCATGGGGAAACCTGTCGCCCGCCAGTACTACCATAAAAAAGGTCGGAAGAGACCCCGCTGGATTATCTGTACCGCCTGAATGTGCTAGGACTTAGGGCGAAGATGAAGATTAAGGATGGGTCGCCAAAGGTTTTGAAGGATCATGTCGATCACTACATTTTGACGGTGGACGACCCGGAGATAGCAGACAAGTTGACTATGTTGCGTCTGGAGGATGTGGAAGAATTGGAGGAAGTATTGACAGCATGTCAGCGGACTAAGGCACGACGAGGCAAGATGTTGTTTGGATCAAGCAAGTTTCGTCAGAAGGCACCGGCACTACCATACAGGCCGAGAGATATGAATCTCCGCTCCATACATGCAGTACGGGCGCCCCTGGAAGACTCGAGCTCTGGAGACTCCAGCCCAGACTCTTCAGAGAACGAAGGAGATCTAAGGCAAGTCTACCTTATGGAGAAAGAAGCAGGGAGGGACCCAAGTGTGAGGTTCTCAAAGAATCTACCGACCAGGGAGGCCGACCAACATCACCAGGCAGTGGACCAGCGACCCTGCCCATCATCAGCGACCCCAAATAAGAGATGTGCTTATTGCGGGTCCAAGAGACATGGAGATCTGAATTGATGGAAAAGATTGACCTGCGACCGCTGTGGAAGGAAAGGTCACCCGTCTGATCGCCGCCTGTTCGTATGCCGGGGTTTTGGAGAGATTCACGAGATTGGGAAGTGCCAGATGGAGGAGTTCTACAATTTGTTCTGTTAATGGTACAACCCAGCCAAGCATGCAGGGATGTTCCCGAAGAAACCGAGAAGATGGCAAATTAGGACGCTCGCCAGGTTTGAATCTGGTACGAGCCGAGCGTCCTAACTGTTTTATCTTTGCATATGTGAAGAAACAGCCCAAGGAGGAGACGGGTATTCCAGTTAAGATTGGAAATATATCGAAGATTGGAAATTACCCTGTGGTCCATGTTGCTTCTTTGAATAAGCCTAACAATTTATTCGAGAAAATGCAGTAATGGAGTTGGGCTTATTGCCAGGCGAGTCTAGGAGGTACTGGAAATACCACGCCCCTACTATATGGTTCAGTCAAACCAAAGCCTCTGGGAAGG